AAATGAATTTTATGTATAGGCCTAGAACTATCCCAATTTTTTTTTCTCCCAAGAAGAATAAAAAAATAAATAAAAACTTTCTTTCTGGAGTTGTGCATTGTTAAGACTCTATTTATGTGCTCAAACATGAGTTCTCAGGGGGAAGACCAAAGTGCATTGGCAACGTGACCTCAATCACACTTGTTCAAAAATATTTCAAAGCATGAAGTCGAAGACAGCTGGGAAAAGAGGCCAAAAAGAAGCCAGCAACTGTTAAAGATGTGTTGCTCTCTAAAGCAGCAGCTGACGAACACTGAATTATAAGCAGAGGAAAGTTGCTTTTCTTTTTCTTTCTCCTTCACCTCCCTCGGGGCGTTAAAGGACCAGTTGTGTTGTATAAGCGAGCCAGATGGGCTTGCGTTCTGTGACTAAACTCTGGGTGCACGCACACACATGCACTCTCAAGCTGATCAGTATTCTAAATTGACACTCGTCTTCCTTTCTGTTTGAGTCATCGCATTCTCTTTTTTCCGATCTGCTCCTTCACGAGGAGGACAGGAATTGGTGCTCTTTATCCAGGTGCTTCAATAAAAAGGAGTCTAAGCCAGCAGAAGATACACAGATGGAGGGATGACAAGTCGAGGATGAGACTTGGACCTTCACACTTTCTGCAAATATGGAAACTTGGAGAACAAACCACCTCCAGACAGTTTCCCTTTTCTTCCCCAGCAGGCTGAGGTAACCTTTTCCTGACTGCATTTAGAGTTTAAACCCTTTAATCCCTTCAGCCATGCACAATTCAAAATTATAACCAAGCTCCTCAAGCCTTTCATTCAATTCTTCATGTGATAGCAAAACAACTAGAGATTAAATCCTAAGAATGTGAAGGTTTATGAAGCATTCACACTATTGTGATCCATTTTTCATATGTACGTTTTTCAGCGTGATTCTTATCCTGCAGTTTCCAAGCTATTTCAACAAATCGTATATCAAAACGTTCAGCTCTTTCAGGACAATCCTGCTATGACTTTTGGTATTGGTGCAACTTTAGCTTTTGGCAGGTTGGCTTTCTTGGACTGAGGTCTCAGTTTCTGATAGACATTTGCAAACCGAGGTGTACCGCAAACCCACCCACACAGACCAGTACTTGCAGTTTGACTCCCATCACCCTTTGGAGCACAAGTTAGGAGTCATCAGGACTCTGTACCACAGAGCAGACAGCATCCCCACTAACTCAGGAGCCAGGCAGAAGGAGAAATCCTACACGAGACAGGCTCTAGAGCAATGTGGATATCCTAACTGGGCCTTCCTGAAAGCAGAGAAGAAACCCAAACAGGACTCCAGTCAGCCAACAGGTGAAAAGGAGGAACCCAGACCCAGACCAGTGGTCATTCCGTATGTTGAGGGAGTATCAGAGAAACTGAGACGTTTATTTTCTAAACATAACGTCCCAGTGGCTTTTAAACCCCAAAATACATTACGGCAAAGACTGGTTCATCCCAAAGATCCAGTCCCCCGGCACAAACAGAGTAATGTTGTGTATGCTGTTCAGTGTCAGGAGGGCTGTGATCAGTCTTACATCGGGGAAACTAAACAGCCACTGGCCAAAAGGATGGCCCAGCACAGAAGAGCAACATCATCAGGCCAGGACTCTGAGGTCTACACTCATCTCCAGACCAGCGGTCACTCTTTCAGGGATGAAGATGTTCACATCCTGGACAGAGAGGAACGATGGTTTGAGAGAGGAGTAAAGGAGGCCATCTTTGTGAAAAGAAATCGTCCATCATTAAACAGGGGTGGAGGCCTCCAGGTTCAACTGTCCCCCTCTTACAATGCTGTGATTGCTAGTATCACTCAGCCCTCTGTGAGTAGTAAACAGCCATCAGTGTGCTAATGATCCATTGTTAGGCTGATGGTCCTTCTTGAGCATGTGATCAGCTGGTTTTGGTTGTCAGCAGCAAAACTGGTTGATCCACTCTGAGACTGTGCTATTTAAGAGACTGAGCTGAATACAGCTCCTCAGACTGAACAAGTCTTTCTGATAAAAGACGAAACGTTTCTACATTTTTATTTTTTTGTTTTGTTTTTTTGAATGTCCAGAGGACCAGATTTAACTTTTTTAGATTATTCTACCTGGATTATTGAGCATGCATCAGGATACTCCTTTCAGATTCTTTCTGCTAAACATTTTTGTGCTTCTTGAAACTTCTTTCTGCTAATTTCAGCTCATTATGCTTCTTTCAGCTCATTTCAGCTCCTTTCAGCTTTTTCTGCTATTTCACCTACTATTAAGCTTCTTTTTTTTTAATGCAAATTTAGCCTTTTTAGCCAATTCCACATTTTTGAGATACTTTCAGGTATTTGCTTCCTTCTGGTAGTTTAAACTTCTTTCTGTCTTTTCAGCTACTGTTCAGCCATTTTTATTTTGTTAATTTCAGCCTTTTTTTAAGCCAATTCACTAATTTTTGTGCTAATTTCTGTAAATTTATACATAATTGAGCAAAAATGTGTTATTTCTACTAATTAAGGCTTCTCTTTAGTTTCACTACATCTCACTTGTAAAAGAGTCTTTGAGGCTCAATGTGATTTATCTGTATAAGTTGAGGTTGAATTGAATTGAAAATTTTCAGCATGTTTTTAGCTAATTTCAGCTGTTTTTCCAGCAAGTTCTTCAGTAATAAGCATTCACACTGCATTTTCACAGGAAATGCAATTTCTCTAATTTGATTTTGTTTTGTGCAAAGAGGATTCCCTAAAGTTCCATAAAGTTATGGGGAAATTGACAAAATCCTAACAAAAAATGTTCTTGGCTGCTTTTATTCACAAAATGTCTGATCTGTGTAAACAAAATTGTTACAATTCTCTGAAATTAAATAATTCTTGAAAGTACAACTACAGAGAATAACAAAGTTCTCCCAACTACTTTGCAAGATCATCTCTGTGTAACTGATGTGGAACAGCCAGATGGCCTTTTGCAAACTTGAAGCCTGCTACCATCTTTGTTTGTCCAAATTTATTCGTGTTGCCCAAGTTTGCACAGAAATGTAAAACTTGTGTTACATAATAGATGTTAAAAGTGCTCATCTACTCACAGAACCACTTTTACAGCTGGTACAGTCCGTGTTCACGCTGCAGATTAACTTTGAGCAGAGAGAATTGAGGATTGCTCTCAGCAACAGACTTATTTTTCGCCTACAAACTTTTATCAAAGACAACGTGGGATCAGACCCATCTCTGGAGCATTTTATCAGGGTTAGATTGCGTCGCTCCCTCCTCGACGTGACTGTAGCGTGAATACGTTTAACAATGTTTTTAGCTCCGTCAACAGCACAGAAGAAAGAGAAATATTTACAGAGTGCACTCATGCTGCGCGTTTGTCCCTTCAAATCTGAATCTTGTTAAAACAGAAAACAGCTGGTCTGAAATCTGCCAATCGGCTTCCTCTGCAGACATGACCTCAGCGACAGAGCAGAGCACCATCCTCATTAGCTTGTCGTTTTATTTACTTTGGAAGAACTGAGATCATTCATGTTTAACAGGGTAGTAATTAAACCATCTTCTTGTTTTGCCTATAACATGAGCGTCATGTTTGACAGCAAGAAAAAAATGAAATCTCTGTGAAGCCAAACCTGCAAACGGCCAACAAATCAAAAAACACTGAAAATGGCTCCTGGCATGGGATATCTCAATTAAAATGCTAAAGCAGAAAGCCTACACATTGTTTTGCACGTAAAAAAAATAAATAAATAAACTAGAGAATTTGCATTTCCTGCGAAAATGCAGTGTGAATACGTATTGCTGAAGAACCTGCTGAAAAACAGCCGAAATTAGCTAAAAACATCCAGAAATCTAGCTAAGGAAGAACGAGCCTAAGTTAGCAGAAGAAAGCAGAAGTGTAAATCATCTCAAAAAGGCATGCATTTCCCAAAAACAGCTGAATAGTAGCTAAAAAAATGCAGAAAGAAGCTTAAATTTTCAAAAGGAAGTGAAGTGAGTTTAATTGTGCCGACTAAGGCTAAAAGAGGCAGAAATTAGCCCAAGGAAGTTGAAATTATCTGCAAAAAGCTGAAATTTGCCAAAAACAGCTGAATAGTAGCAAAAACAAGTGAGATGAGATGAGTGCGATGGCACTGTGGCAACCCCTGAAGAGGGAAAAGCCGAATGAAGAAAAAGAAAGAAGTAGCTAAAACAAGCAGAAAGAAGCTTGAATTACCAGAAGGAAGTGGGTAAAGACTGATTTGGCAGAACTAGGCTGAAAAAGTTGAAGTGCAAAAAATGTGGAATTAGCTGAAAAAGCTGAAATTAGCATAAAACAGCTAAATAGTAGCTGAAATAGCAGAAAAAGCTGAATTTAGAAGATAAGCTGAAAGGAGAGCACAAGATGGAATGACCAGAAATAAGTTATAAGCACAAAAATGTTGGGCTTAGCGAAAGCTGAAAGGAGCACCAAACAGTTGGAAAAAAAAAAAAAAAAAAACAGCTGAAATTAGCTGAAAGTAGCCGACATTTATTTAAAATTTTGCACAAGGAAGCTGAAAGAAGCTTAACTGGATAAAAATATGAAAGTAGTAGTAAAAGTTTATAAACAGATCAAAAGTTATGAAGGATGTAAAATTAGCTCAATTCATTTTCAATGAGGGCAAAAATGGCAGAAAAGGCTAAATGTCTCAAAAAGCTGAAGTTGCATCAATACCAAAAGTCGTACCCCTCTCCTGAATGAGTTGAACATTTTGATATAGGGTTTGTTGAAATGGCACAAAAACTGCGGGAGGAGTAAGCTACTCAGACTTTGCACAAGATGAAAACTCACAGCTAAACCCTCAGGCAGAGCAACGTTTGAACTTTTGGCCAGAATTGCCACCGCTGGCACTGAAAAATTTACATCCCGATTGTCCAGCAACAACAAATGCTTTAACATTTTTTACCTGCAATTCCTGCACAAGTCATGTTGAATTAAAGGCACTTTCCCCCCTCATACATCATCAGTTTGAGCCTCTCGGTGATTAAAAGCCTTTACATACCTGCTTGTCCTTGTCTTTTGTTTTCCCACTGCCCGACACCCGCGACGAGGTGACATCACGGGGGATGACAGAGATATGCAGTGGCATATTCATCCCAGCGGAGCCAACCAGGGATCACTCACGCACAAACTTCCAGTATAGCTCCCAGAGCAAAGGGCATGATGGTTTTTAACGGCAAGACCTCGCATACACCACCCTGCACGGAGACACAAATTACATCCAAATTAGTTATAAAGTGCACGATAAATATAAAAACAGCTGATAAAATCATAAGAGCTTCTAATTGTTGTTTTGGGTAACACTTCTTGTCTTGTGTTTGTTCAAATTTCTCAAAAACAATGAGTAAATCAAAATGCAAAGTTTCGAAATTGCAAATATGTAAATTTCAAATGTCTTAAATGATCCATCAATAAAAGAAAAGATTACTAGCGCCAACAGTCTATAAATATTACCGTAATTTCTGCCGTACACATCGCACCGCCCTATAAGTTACAAAAGTCCAAATATGACTAAGTGGGAAAAATCCATAAACATGGCACTTCGCCATATACGCCGCGTCTATTATGAATCACCAGTGACGTGTTGCATTTGTTACACGTCACTGCTGACAACCTGGAAATGAGGGCCGGTGTGCCAAAAATCGATTGGCTACAAAATGGCAGCCGCGAGAGCGTGCATGGGAGGACTAACAAGAATTTAACAAAATTAACACTTAAAAACAATTATTTGTTTTCTCAAAATTATAGCAAAAGTTGTGTTTCAGTCCAACTTTTCCTTAATAAATTCACTTTAATGGTCAAATCAGCTGCATTTAAAAAACTGATACGCAGAAACATGCACCGAGGGCGACTTGCTGTCCATTTCTTCGAAATTGAACAAGATAACCACCTAAAAACAATTATTTGTTTGCTCAACATTACAGTAAAGGTGTGTCTCAGTTGAACTTTTACTTAATAAATGCACTTTGACAGTCAAATAGACTTCATTTCGCCAGGGTGGCGCAGCAAATTGAAGTTGATTTGACGGTTGCTCCAGGCAGACGATTGCAAGCCGATTGTGTCATTAATAGCCACTTTTATCTATTACATGATACAATGGCATGCCATACTGCTCGACTGCCATCTAGCGGCTGAAAATAGTAGTGCTCAATACTTTCCGTCTGAATTAATGAAAACGGTCATATCTCAGCCAAAAATTGGTTTATAAATATGGAAAATAAAAATAAATACGTTGCTTCAGTGTATAAGTCGCAGAGCATGCAAATTATGCAAACAAACTGACTTACATGGACAAAAAAAAAATATGTTGAGCATTCATTTGTTTTTAAACGTATAGAAAACAAAATTACAAACTTCAGACTTTTTTTTTAAATTCTGGTTTCTTTTTCAAACTGCCAATGAATAGCTTCATTTCCGTGGTGAAAAAGGGAAAAGCAAAGAGCGTAATAAATATAAGAGGTGATTCTAGAGTGTGAACTGAATCAGTGGTGGGATTTCCACACCATCAGTGTCTGCAGAAAGTCATGGAAGCAGCAGCAGGCTGAAATTATCCTTGAATTACACAAGAGGTTTCATGTCTTTTTAACTTCAGTTAATGAAGCCATCTGTGTCACCACTGACAGCAATTAAGCCGGAGCTCCTTCTCACCAAAGCAAGAATGTGTTTATACATAGGCCTGTCTGCCAAACAAACCCTCAATCTCCAGTATATAAAAATGACAGAATTAAGAAAGTAAAAAGCGAGCGGACAGATGGGAGGTCAGTTCAGCGGTGGTAATCAGAAAGCAGCGTTGATGGAAGCAGGAGGTGCTCGCTGCTTGCAGTGTTTTTGCGTAGGCTTCTGGACTGAGAATGCCATGCGGGTTCAACGAGGACGCGGACTGAAACTGTTAGAGCTGTCACTTCAGTCCGACACTGCTCCGTCTCTGGTAAGTATTCAATGAGACGAAGAGGTGATGGTGCTCCGAGTGACGGCAGCCCTGCCAGCTTCTTGTGCAACAGCTGGCGAAGACTTGGTGAGAAAAGGATGTTAAAGATCAACCCTGAAACATTTCTGCAACAAAACTAAACTTTAGACAACCCGAAAAATATAAAATCATTTAAAAACAAAACAATTTAAACCAGAATCACTTTAATCTTAAGTTTGCTCATGTTCAATATAAACATTATAAATAATAACCAATATTTACTGTGTGAACAATTATGAAGCATTCACACTATTGTGATCCATTTTTCTTCCACACATTTTCAGCATCTCTTTCTCGTTCCACAATTTTTGTGCCATTTCAACAAATCAGAAATCAAAATGTTCAGCTCATTCAGGAGAAGGGCGCTTTGACTTTTGGTATTGATGCAACTTCAGCTTTTTTAAATATTTAGCCTTTTCTGCCATTTTTGCTCTCATAGAAAATTAATTGAGCGCATTTTACATCTTTCAAATCTTTAGATCTGTTTACAACCTTTTACGCTCCTTTCACATTTTGTTCTGGTTCAGCTTCTTTCAGCTCCTTTGTGCAAATTTAAACATTTTTTCAGCTTCTTCAACTAATTTCTGCTGTTTTTTTTTTTTTCCAGCTCAAACCAACAACTTTCAGTCGGGTCATCTGGACGTTTTTTTTTTTCTTTTTCTGAAACGTTTCACCTTCCATCCAGAAGGCTTCATCAGTCAAGGAAACGACAAACTGATTCTTCCCCCAAACAGCTTACTCCAAAGTGGAACAAACCAGTTATGTTGGTGCCAAGATAATGTCTTTGGCACGCCCCCTCCTTTCAGCAAAAAAAAAAAAAGAAACTGTCCAGATGACCTGACTGAAAAATTGTTGAATTGTATACCTGGATTATTGAGCATGGAATGGTTTTTTTTTTTTTTTTTTTTTTTTGGGGGGGG